CAGTAAACACATCCATCAGAAAGACTGGGAAAAGGGATTTTTTATTCACGACATGGAGCGGTCCTTAGAGCTTTAATTTTGTTGTAATCAAAGACATCTTTGTTCACTCTCGAACGTTTTCTTCGATAAAATGTTTTTATTATCATCAAAACTGTATTTTTACATCCACGTTTTAACTATCATTCGCCTGATTATAGTTTTGCAATAAAACCGAAAGCTTGCTAAGTTTTCCTTGATTTCTTTATCAATTTTAACAGATTATTATTCACTATATTTATATTCAATAGAATGTGTATTGAAAAAATGTGCATTGAACGTTCTAAAGGTCTTTATTGTGTTCCTTTGAATTCCAGCAAATATCTGCCTGGTTTGTAACCAAGAGATTTTAGTGCCGTGGTGTTTATCCAGAAGGCTAATAATGTCTGTCTGATGAACTGTAAACCTAATTTTCCTGCGATGATTTGGAAAACAAAAACGACAATTGAACACCGTGGTGAAAGCCGTCATATTACATGCGAACCTAATCGGTATTCGGGCGCAAACAAGCACTCAGCACCCATCCCCACCCCCATCAAATAATAAATCCACTGAAGAATGATTATGCAAAGCCTGGCTGAGCTGTGATTGGCTCACCGCTCCCTAAGGATTTTGGTGACGTCATATATTAGCATAGAACTTCACCGAATAGACTACCCCAATTAGCTTTAGATATCTATAAGTGTCTTCATAGTACGATGGTCTAAGAGGGTAGCTAAAGGTATGCTCTAGTGGGCGGCTACCCCCTCACTCCCTGGCCTTTTGGTTAAGACTAAGTTTTATGTTCACTCGGGGATAGCGTGGAAGRGCCGAAATCTCTAACCGTAACGTAAGCCGATTCGCCGCCTCAGCTTCATAGAATGTCTCGGGGGAATCGTCCCATCTTTTTAAGTTTTTTATTTTAATTATTTCTTATGTATTCAGGGGGGGTACCTCTTCTCTTGAAGAGAAAGTTCTGAGTTCGAGCCCTGGTTCTGGAATTTCTCTTTTTTTCGCTTGTTTATTGTTTCTTTTTCGTTTGTTTCTTGTGTTTTTTTCTTCTTCTTTCTTGTTTTCTTTTCTTCTTTTCTTTGCTGTTGTTACTTCGTTTGTTTTTCTCTATTTATTTTCTCTTTTCAACTTTAAAAGCATATCAAGGACTCGCAAGGAACGCCTGCTACAAGTGGATGGTTACGGTTCGGTCACTCAACACGATGACATAGTGACGAGAGGCCCCATAAGGCATTTCGTCACAAAATCTGCTTGCGTATATTTAAAAGATATATCGCTCCCAAAGAAGAAAAATAAAACAAAAAATGGTTTTCAAATAATTGAAAGTATATTTGTCAAAATATGTCTCTAAAACAATACAATATTTTTATATTTATAAACTGCTCCACGGCCAATGTTTTGAAAATTTTGTGTTGTTTTTTGGGACCTAATAGTACGAAGGTACATAATCGATGCAATCCAGCTTGTCAGCGGCCTCTTTGTCCAGGTTCTCGTGATCGTCTTTCAACATACCCTGATAAAAAAAGATGATGTTGATGATGATAATGATAATAATAAGTAATAGTTATTGACAAATTCACCTCTATGACCGTTTCCACAGTAACGAAGATGACATCCTACGGGTTTGTACAGCTTGTAGACGAAGTAGTCTCCACARTTTCTGACTTGAATCTTGTTACTCCACCGACAACACTGTCTTCTCCAGCTAAAGCACGCCCTACGCGTCACTACCCCTTGATTCATGGAGGGATGACTGCCTGGAAATATCAAAACGACTCTATTCATTTGTCTTTTCTTTTTTATTGTGGATAAAATGATTTTTCTCCATTATTATCTCTAACACTGATGATATCATCAACATGATCATGATGAATGATGATGAATGATGATGATGATGATGATCACCTGTCATCCATCCAGTTGCATCAGTTCCACAACGATGCCCTGACACACATCTTGTTGCCATCATTCCCCCAGCATGCCCAGCAAACCTGTACCATTGTCCATCAATGACGTCATTCCTATCACATCTTTTCGKGTGACGCTTGCGCCATCTTCTCGATCGGTCAGCGGTATTCAGTAGCATGTAATTCTTGCAAATTGATGACAAGGCGGACACTAAACTGTATCCTGTCGACGAAAATGACTAAGAGTCTTGATACAAGAAAGTACACAGAATCMCCAAAACGTCAACATGATCCATGCATAGAGAAGATAATTTATTGCATGACTGATTACCTGCACCGTTTCCACAGTAACGTAAATGACAACCCGGCGGTTTYTTGAGTTCATAAACATAAAACCCTCCACAGTTTCTCACGCGAATCSAGTTGAAGGCAAAACAACATTGACGCCCAAATGAATAGCAAACCTTACGCCGSACAAGTCCTTGTGCCTGGGTGGGATGGGTACCCTGCATCCAACCTGTACAGATAAAAGACTGGTACTAATTTAACAATGATGTTGATGATGATAATGATAGTGATGATTYATGTCCTCTACCTGGTGCTGTGGTACCACAGTGATCTCTTGGTAAACACATTGTTGCGATACCATTTCCTGCCTGGCCAGCAAAGCGGTACCAGCCATTCTCAAGATCATAAACGTCACATTTCCAGGAAGTTGCTGGTTGAGATTGTGCTCGATCTCGTCCGTGCAAGATTTTGTAGTTGGTGCACTCAGAAGCGTTGTCTAAAAAGCAACAATGAATTAAGATCACTAAGGTTTCCATTGATGAGTGGAACAAAGAAACTGTAAAATATTTACACTATGTAGAAAACTCACTTTTTCCATTACCACAGTAGCGCAGGCTACATGCAGGAGGCTTTATGAGACGGTAAACAAAGAAAGGGCCACAATTACGAACACTAATCGCATTGCTCCACCGACAACAGTCCCCATTCCAGTGGTAGCAGACTTTCCGTAAGACCACGCCCTCAGAAGGGGTTGGATGTGACCCCTTCATCCAACCAGGGGCGTCAGTGCCGCAATGTTTCCCAGGTACGCATAATGTTGGCATCTTGTAGCCGGCGAGTCCAACGAAGCGGTACCAGCCTGTTKTTATTTCGTGTTTGTCGCACTTTTTGGATTGAATATTAGCTACACCTTGGGCGCGGTCGCGGGTATTCAAGATTCGATATCTTCTGCATTCTAAAGATTAAAAGTAATCGGTTTTCACTGAAGAAAGGCTGAAGAATTGTTCTTGTTCATCGATTCTATCTGTTTACTGGCTTTCTGTCCTTACAGTAATTATAAAGGAAGCCCATAGATCTCCTTTCATCCATATTGAGTTTCAGTCACGCAAGTCATATTCAGTCACGCAAGGATCCTTCTCTATACACGACAACACAAATACGCTATACAAGCAAGAGTTTACAATAAAGAACACTTACCGGTATTCTGCTTCCTGTAAATCCAGTTAACAAATGAACTGACACGTGCAAACACAGTATATTGTTGCGTGACGCAACTGTGATTTCCCCAACTGACAACACCCCTTAGAATCCAGCGCCCTCGTTCATAACAGGACAGCGGTCCACCGCTATCACCATGACAAGCAACTTGTCCTCTTTCTCCAGCGCAAATCATTGACTGATCATGGACTGTGTGACCGTTCCTTGTTCGACATCTCCATGTACTTACAACTCTCATTACTGCYCTCTGAAGGATATTTGCGTGATGTCCGTTAGGACTTGTGTCACCCCAGCCTATAAAACACCTTGATTATTGAAATGARCTGATGTCCGGGAGGTATATAATTGTAAATTAAGMAAATAGCCTTTCCTGTGGAAGATTATTACTGATATCTTCAAATTTCAAATTTTTATCTGTTTGCTCTTCTTTTGATTATCATATTTTCATTTCAAGATTACATTTGTCGTTGTTTAATATTTGTATTAAGAAAGCAATATCTAATTATAATTAATGATTCATCATTAAGATTTAGAATTAAAAAAAAAACGGAAAGAAGCTGATGGGCGAGACATTGCTATTATATTTTGAATTTGACGTAGTTTGTCTTGAAAAACGACTCGATGATAGTAGTGATTATGATGATGATGASAACGAYGATGATGATGATTGTCATGACAACTACCTGTCAAGTAGCATGTCTTCCCAATACGGACCCGATGGCCCTGGATTGGCAGTTGTATTGGTCGAACACCATGACTAATTCTCACCCATTCATCCAATAAAACGAGAGCGACGTCGTATCTYCTGTGACTTTCATGAAACATACTGTGATTGTAAATTTCCTTCACGAAAATCTTTCTTGTTATGCTTGATAGACCCTGATATAATTTATGAGCACCTGAAACATYGATAACATGTMATCTGAGACGCCATTTTGCACAGCAAAGTATGATGGGAAATATAGTGTATCGTACCGTTAAATTAGAACCTAACAGTCGCTTTTGTGTGTTTTTGTGTGCCATTTTCACAAAAAGACAAAGATCTTTGGAGAGATTTTTAAACGGACAAAAAGTGAGATGACTACGGCTCCCATCATGCTTTGCTGTGCAAAATGGCGTCGCTTCACATCGCTCATTGCTTATTTTTCGCTACATCATGTGACATACCTACAATGATGGAGTATCGCCTGGGTTCTAAGTTACGCTGWACACAGTGAGCAGCGGTCAGTACCCATTCTTGTGTGATCAGAGARCCCCCACAGACGTGAACACCGTCCCTTTGWAGTGAGACTTGCCACGGCCATTCGTTAGGTTGTGTATTGTGKCCATTAACGATACGTTTTGATCTATGAAGCACGCGGTCCCTCTGGTAACTGGCTACATGTCGACATACTGATAATTAAAATTTCACATTTCCTTTTTTTTATATAAATTGATTTAAATCTACTCTTGGATAACACATCGGTTAAAAGAATCTTGGGATCCCTGTGTCTCGTTACCTTATTTATACATGTCAGTCTGTCTATTTACTTACCAGCGCTTCGACAAATACTAGTAATAAACAGGCTCGTCTGTAAATAGAAGTGACACTTCAAATTATCATGATTTTTTTATCCTTTCTCCCTCCCTGAATTCATGCATCCATCTCTTTTATTTTACTTTGTTGATCAACAGGAATTCAATATCTGCAATATCACT